AAGGCGCTCCAGATTATAAACCAAACAGTCAGATAACTCGACCTTTATTAAGCTCACAGTAACTCTTAACACTGTTAAGCTGCAACACATTAAATACTGAAGAACACACTCACTGTGTCTGAGTTACAGTAAACAGGATCCCTCCCATCATTATCTGACTCAGTCTCGTTGCTGTGCAGGGATTATTCCAGCCTTCGTGAAAGCTCGGACACTTGAGACCGATACCTTAGCCCAAGCATCCATTGGCAGAGAGCGGCGTAACTCGCTCGGCGTTGCCTCCCTGTCTTGGTGAACGTGTGTTCGCCTTCTGTCATCCAACGCTCCCACACAGCTCGTAATTTAACTTTGAACGACCTGTTGACACCAACAGGTTGGAGCTCTTTGGTTGCTCCACCTGGAATGACGGCAAGCTCTGAATTAGTTTGCTTCACCTGGGTTTGGGCAGGCTCGGTGAGATGGGCGCGCATGGAGTCGTGATTCAAAAGAGACGGAGATTTGTGGAAAAGCCACCTGGTCTCTGGACATAAACTCAGCCACTCGCTCATCTTCTCCTCGTCCATCCAGCCCTTTGAGTTCATGATGACGCCGGCCGGAAACTTTTCTGTTGGTAAAGTCTTCCTCTTGAAAATGACCATGGGTGGTAGTTTCTGGCCATTAGCTTGGCAGCCCAGAACCACAGTGGAGGATGACTCCTCGTTCCCTGTGGTGCGTATAGATACCGTACTGGTGCCTGGTTTCTCAACAGTACGGTTCACGGGGATGTCAAAGGTGAGGAGGACCTCGTCCATGTTAGTGATGTGTTCTGATCTTTTCAGTGATCTGGCAGTAGGTGCTGAAAATGACCAACTTTTCTCTGTAATCGTTTGGCAGTTGCTGTGAGACAGTAGGATTGAGAGATTACGCCTTTCCATAAAGCGGGAGCACCACGAAGGTCGAAAGTCATTGATCTGCATGTCACGTGCTGCCGCTGTAGCCTTGAGTTGAATAGAGACAGTAGAGACACTTCTGCCTGCTGTTCTCTGTTCAATAACCCACTGTTCAGTTTGTCCTCTAACTGCGGCCGTCGCGCCGCGTTCCCTCGGAAACTCCTTTTGGTCTTCTTCACTTGTTTTAGGTCGTCTTCGTGCTTCCTCCACTTGCGCACCATCGACTCATTAATGCCTCGCAGCTGCTCTATTTCCATTTTCTGCTGCAGAACTGATTGCTCCCAGTTTAAAACCCGCTTCGTAAGCTTAACACGGTGATGTTGTGTTGAAGCACCGTACGTATGACGAGGCTCCTTGCAACGGTAACCGTAATGCTCCGAGAAAGTGGCACTAAAAGGGTTGTTGACAGATTTTTGAGCATCGTGTAGCACGTAAAATCAGTTCAAGGTCAGTAAGCACAAACCAAAATTCATACATTTGAACTGTCGATTTAAGGATTTTGCGTGCGCCTTATAGTGCGGTAAATACGGTACTTACTAATCTTAAACGTAGTGTCTG